CAAAAGATTTGATGATTGCCCTTGTACAGAAGTACTATGAGGCCCCTGGAATTACCACGCTAGCCAGCAATTACTGCAAGACGTGTGTCATCTGCGCCAAGTGCAATCCGGGGAAAATGGCTAAAGTCCCTCCAAAACACTTGGCCAAGCCCATGTACCCGTTTCAAAGAATTCAGATAGACCACATCCAGATGCCAAAGAGTGGCAACTTCGAATATGCACTAGTAATAGTAGACATGTTCTCAGGCTGGCCAGAAGCCTACCCAGTGGTTAACATCACCGCAAAAACAACAGCAAGACAGCTACTTACAGAAATTGTATGTAGGTTTGGATTACCAGAAGTCATTGAAAGTGACCAAGGCCCAGCTTTCACAGCATCAGTAACTAAAGAGATTTGGGCCGCCCTAGGAGTGACCCTTGCCTTCCACACACCTTATCACCCACAAAGCAGTGGTAAGGTGGAGCGTATGAATGGCACCCTGAAAACTAGAATGCTAAAAATGTCGCAAGAAACAAAAATGCCCTGGCCCGAAAGCTTGCCAATAGCCCTGTTTAGTGTCAGACATACACCTAGAGGGAAGCCCTCATTGTCCCCTTACGAGATTCTATTCGGGTCAGCACCCAGGCTAGGCTGTTATTTTCCCCAGCAATTACAACTTCATACTGATGTTTTGGTAAACTATGTAACTGAACTTGCCAATGCTTTGAACAAAATCCATGCCCAAGTTTTCTCTTCAATTCCAGATCCTGATTCTGACACAGGCAACCACAGTCTGCTCCCCGGTGACTGGGTTCTGGTCAAGAAATTTGTGCGAAAACACACCCTGGAACCAAGATTTGACGGACCGCTCCAAGTTCTCCTGATCTCCCCTACCTCTGTCAAATTGGCCGGAAGGCCTAACTGGATCCACGCTTCCCATTGCAAGAAGACACCTGCCCCAGAGGAAGCTAACTCTATGCAACCATGTGCCTCTGGTACATTATCTCCTTAGTTGGCCTCCTTAAAGCCCAGCAGGTGGCCATCACCAAAGATGCTAGTGGGTACACTTTCTGGTATAATTCATCATGTACCCATGTGGCTACATTCACTTTTGATTACTGTGATATTGTAGAGTGCCCATTCCCTAAGTCACAGATTCAAGCCATTTATAAAGATATACCACAAGCAAAAGACCCTTACGTTTGTGTAGTAGATGAACAATGGGGTCATGACTGTAACTACTGGGGGGCTGCGGGATGGAATACTGGGCCTGCCTGGGGTTATAAACCCAAAAGTGCTTTATCTAAGATAGACAATCAGGGTAGATCCCTCCTTCAAAGAATGACTCTAAGAAAGCCTGGAGGAAGTACCCCTATGAAATTAATGTTAAATATTGAACATCCTGGCCCCGAGGATGCAGACCGATATGTAATGGGAATGTATTGGAAGAAAGGTTCCTAAAACAAATTAGGTCATTTCTACCTCAGAGATATGTACCACTCTCCAGAGTGGCAAGGGGCTGATCATATGGTCCCAAATCCGCTAAAACCACATATCCAGTCCTTTAAAGATATGATGGTCATCGCTAACCCCACTTTTGAAGATACCATGGCCGCTGAAACTGGATTCAATGACATTAATTTGTGGTTAGAATGGATGAGGTATAATGCTAACAAACATAATAAAACAGCATGTTATGTATGTGGCGGTGCCCGACCCCACCTTGGCACCGTCCCCCTAACTCTCCCTTTAGAGATAGAAGATTGCTTCTTAAGCCTTTTTGCCTACTAATATGACTTTAATAGGTCCCTCTGCATGGCATGGACGGCAGAATACCCTCTCTTAGTTGAAAATGTTAAGCCACCAGATGGAGTCACAGTCTATAGAGGTAATTACACTTGTTATGCCATGTATGACGGGATTGGTAAATTCATGGGTAACTTTTCTAAAGGTTATTGCGCCACTTACAGAACTGTTCCTATACTCCTGTTGCAACACCATACCAGGTCATTGGGGGATATTTACTGGTTATGTGGGGATCTACAGTTAAGATCTAGGCTGGAAACTGAGTGGTGGGGTGAGTGTACCCTGGCCAAAGTTATCATGCCCATTCATATTATTTCTGATAATCATCATGACACATACGACCCTCCACATACATCAGCCAGAGTAAGGCCCGAAATCCCAGTAAAAGGCAGTTTTGACCCCCACATTTACATAGATGCCATTGGGGTGCCTAGGGGGGTACCTAATGAATTTAAAGCTAGAGATGAAGTAGCTGTAGGTTTTGAATCACTCTTTACCATAGTCACTGCCAACAAAAACCTTAATTGGATTAATTATATCTATTACAACCAACAGCGCTTCGTGAACTACACCAGGGATGCCCTCCAGGGCTTGGCCGAGCAATTACAGGCCACATCCCAAATGACCTTCCAGAACAGACTGGCCTTAGACATGATCTTAGCCGAAAAAGGGGGAGTCTGTAAAATACTTCCCGACACTATGACTTGTTGCACTTACATTCCAGAAAACACAGGTCCTAATGGTAAAGTCACTCTAGCCATAGCTAAATTAAATAGACTCTCAGAAGAGTTAAAGAGAAACTCTGGAGTTACTGATCCCTGGGAAAAATGGTTTGGTTGGATGACTGGTTGGCAGAGAGCTTTAGTCCAGATTGGTATTGCCTTACTAATTTTTTCTTTTTATTCTCGCTCTTCTCATTTGTTGTGTCCTCCCATGCCTAAGGAAATTCCTGCAGAAAACTGTAGACCAAGCAACACCAACCTTCACTCATCTGACAATCGATGATCAAGACCTCATCTCACCAAGTATTCCGCTACAAACTCTCCCTTATACTGATGAAGTGCAGAAAGTCTAGGAAGGGACAGTACAGGGACAGCGTCCGTCTTTATGGGTAGACTGCCGTACGGAGAAGTAGTGGATAAGCCACTATGGGTTACCAGCGGAGTGAAGAGTGTTCCTGAACCGTACTGACGGATGTGCTGCAGCCTGTTAGGGTCAAGAGAGGGATAGACTTGCACTTTGCATTAACACTAAGTCAGCGGTCATGGGGTTTCTGTGTCTTTGGGCTAATACTTCTTCTGATACTAACAAATAAAGTTTTGTCTTTTAGCAAATAACATTTTAGGGGGGACTGTTGTAGAATTATTAGGCCTCTATAAATTTGTAAGGCCCCTTTAAATCCCCTTGCTATACCTCTAAGAGGCCCCCATAGTTTTACAAGGAAGCTTTGTCTATAGAACATAGAATTTGCATGTCAGCAAGAAATAGCTTTGATAAAATGTGTATTTACTAAAATCCTTGAAACTTAACCTTGAGAAACTAACAAGTGCCAGCTACGCTCAAATGGATAGCTGCCAAAAGGCCCCTCCCGTCGAGTGAGCTCCTCATTTTAACAAAATGGCGCTAAAACCTGTAGGAGTTAAGAAATTACGTAGATAGTGACCTAAGAATGGGGAGGGCATTTTACTAACATCTTAGCACCTAAGCCAATTAACAATGTCTATTTGTCTATATCTTGATTTTCTTCAATGATGTAATAATGCCTTTATAAGGGTCTGCGCACCCATTTTCTGTCAGAAGCCATTAAACTTCTCTGAAGTTCTTTCATTACCCTGAACCTTGTGTCTCAGTGTGAATTTACTTCTGCGTGCACGCAACTTTATTATCTTTAATTTGGACAGGAACAGATAGTCATTCAAACTAATTGGTTTGCAGTAAATCATCTAGAACACCCCTACCTTGCGATGGTGCAGAAACAACATAAAATCAGAATGTTAAAAATCAACTTCATTTAACTTTTTTCTTGTTCCTAAGTGTAACAGAAAGTAAAAGCGTTGGAATCCTTAAACTTCTGAGGGTTCAGAATTATTCTGTATCAATAGATGAAAGAAGGTAACTGTGGTTAGGAACTCAGAAGAGACAAAGTCTATGAAGTTTGCTTTAAATACTTTATTATATATTTGAATATTAACGTAGAGCGATAATTTGATTTATCTGATTTATGTCTTGGTGAATACATTTCTACACATTCAGTTCTATATTACTACTTATATAATCTAGTACTCACTGGCAAGTAATTCCAGAGAGCAACCATTTTGTTTTTTACTCTAATATGAAATGTTGTGGCACATGTATAACTAGTCACATGTTAAAGTGGCACTGTCACCTTTTGGGGACTTCGCATAACATATAAAAAAACCAGATGTTGGAGAGGAGAAGGATGGAGGAAAAGGAAAATCTCTATAAAATGCTGATTTTGCAGAGGGGTGACAGTGTCGCTTTATGAATGAACTAGTTAAACAGCCTTCATGCAAGCTCTAATATGCATTACTGCATCGTAATCAACCAGATCACAGTTTTTTTTGCTAGGTAGTACATTCACTTTTTCAAGGACAAGCCCAGCATTAATGACAGCCTGTTTTACAAACTCTTTATCAACCGAGAGAATAAAGAATTTCTCCTCATCAACCTTATAAAATGTCATGTTTATGGCTGTAAACAGTATCAGGTGCCCCCCAGGTTTTAGGCGGGATGTAAGTTTATTCAGGTTTCTCTGGTAGGTGTCTCTGTCTTTGCTGGTAACTTCCAATAGATACAGACTGAGAACGCAGTCCGCTTGGGGTAAATCGACAGGGACCTGATCGTCGTTAGAAATGTCCCATTGTATTACTCCTTTAATTGCTTTTCTTGTTTTGTCTTCCTTCATGTGCCATGCTTCTCTGCAATGGGAAAAAAAATATATATTACATATTACATGGTTTTCCTGGTGATTCCTTAGCTTTTATAATTTCCTCAGACATTGTTCTTCAAGATAACCTCAGACCTGTCCTAAAACATGTCTCATGCTTTAATTAACCTACTTTAAAATATGTTTACTCTTCAAAACTGGATGAAAATACGTTTGTATGGCTGATTAAAGGAACAAACATGTATTTCTTACACTATCTTGTAACTCAGGGCTTAACAAAATTGCTTTGAATTTAGGAGCCAGCTAATAAAGTTAGGAGCCAGATATTTTTAAATTTACAAACCTTTATATTCAGCGGCAAAAATACAATTCTTAAAGGGACACTATAATCACTAGGACCACTACAGCTTAATGAATTGGTTCTGGTGTCTATAGCGTGTCCCTGCCTACGTTACAATGTAAACAATACCATTTCAGAGAAAAGGCAGTGTTTACATTGTTTCCTAGTGACACCTCTAATGATCGTCCTACATTCTGCGTCTCCATGCTCTGCGTGGAGGCATTGAATGATCCCCATAGAGATTCAATGATTCAATGCATGTCTATGAGGAGATGCTGATTGGTGCAGCATTTTGTAACCAATCCTATGGGAAAACATTGGATTAGCCGATATCATCAAGTTTTAATAAAAACACCATTCTCTTGCTAGACACACACACATAACCATGACAAACAGACATGCACACACCATGAAAGACAGAAACACACACACACATACAATGACAGACAGAAACACACACATGCATACCATGACACACACACACACCATGACAGACACACACACACACACCGTGACAGAGACACACACACACCATGACAGACACACACACTATGACAGACACACACACACACCATGGCAGACACACACACACACCCCATGACACACACACACGCACACACCTCATGACAGACACACACACACACATCATGACAGACACACACACATATCACATGACAGATACGCACACGCCATGACAGAGAAACACTCACACTGACTGACATACACATTGACACATTATTGCTTGTTTTAATACCTGTGGGGTCCAGTGTGTGACAGGCTGGGGGACTGAGCAAGCGGGCGGCATGCTGGAGGATTATAGAGGCAGGAGGCATGCTGGGGGATTGTGCAGGCCAGCATAAAGCTGGGGGATTTTGTAGGAAGGAGGCTTGCTAGGTGGTCGTGGAGGCGGGTGGCTAGCTGCGCATATTGTTGCTGGTGGCAAGGGAGCTGTGATGTCCTTGCTCTGCTCTCCCACGCACCACATTGTGAGACTGAGGTTGGAATATGATGTCATATCCCGTCCCAGTCTCATTAATCGCCGTGTGGGGGTAGCAGAGCAAGGACATCACAGATATCTTGCTGCCCTCCTCCTATTTTCTCAGCTAGCCGCCTGCCTCTACGACCAACCAACAAGCCATCTTCCTACAAAATCCCCCAACTTGCAGCTGGCAGCCCACCAGCCTTGGAGTTAAGGGGCTCGCATATCCCAGGTGCCAAGGCAAAATTCCTAGGCACCATGGCGACCTGGCATTTGGGATTTGACGAGCCCTGTTGTAACTATTTATGAGTTCATTGAAAAGGTGATTTTACTCACCTTTCCACCCAGGCCCTGCTTTTCTTGCCATGGTAACCCAAACCTCCATGTCTGAGATCATCAAACTTGATTTCAAGATTCACTTCTTTTACCATAGAAGAGCATTATCTGGCTATTGCACATGCATTGAATCAATACATCTCTTTGGGGAACATTCAATGCCCCCAAGCACAGTGTGAAGCCTGTGAATGCCAGTG